AATTTATGTGAATCTAGCCATTTTTACCACATCCATCCCGTCCATTGCCTTCCTTCTAACCTCATCCCACGAAACCCCTGAATAGATCAATGCTGTGTCATCAGCATAGGATACAATCTTCTGATGGTAGAACTATGAATTATGAATCATGAATTCTTCATCCAGCTTCAGTAGGTTTGCTTTGGTTGCAGGCGATGGAAATGGACGGAACCCTGGACTCGAGCAACTCTGGAGGTCGCGCTTCGGGCGACTCCGGCGCCGGCACCAAACAGCCGGAAAAGCGGTCCAGAAAACTGTCCAGGCCGCGCAGCCTCACCAACCTGGTGTGGGAGACCAGAGAGCATCCGGACATTTCGATGCCCCTCGTCGACAAACCGAAGAAGATTCTCGATCCAGCGGCCATAGTGTATAAAAAACATTCCAAGTATTCGATTAGTGGACCGAAAAGCCGTGGTACCCTCTATTTGTAGGGCTCTTTGTTATCGCCATGGCTTGGCTATTTGTGATTTGTCTACTGTTAAGGTTGGTACTCGATCGGCTGCTCGGCTACTTCCACTTGCAACAGGCACTACTGGGAACCGTCGGTGTTGGGTTCGGATGTTCATGCTGCCAAGTACAGCAAAGTGCCTTGTATATATTTATTCGCTTTGGTCGGCTGGTTCGCGCCTGATGATGATTGGGGCCGTGCAAAATGAGAAACGTCTGATTGATTTGTGCGTGTTTTAGACGACTTTTAACGTGTATTCCGGAAGTGCCTTAGTTGTAATGTTGCGGAACCACCCAAAAGGTTGCATTTTCAATTCAGTCATTTTTTGCAAGCCATGCTTTCTTAAAGCACCTGATGACGTCCAAACATCGAAACTTTCCGGCTTATTAATGGGCGCACAACCACGGGTTCTCTCATCGCAAACTGACTAGAAATGTGCCTTAAACAGCAACTTATCCTTCCTATTCACACGTCTTCATGGAAGTAGACCGCGTCGATTTAGCTTATTTAAGTCCATTTTCGATTTTCTAAGACTTGTGATTCGTAGGTTTTAGTGATTTTCTAATTTTAATTAGCGTGTAATTCGTACGATTTAGTTTTACTACTACTTGGTGTCCATATCATTTTGAAAGTCAAATAAACCGATATAAAAGTGAAGGATCAGATTGTTTTCTTATACACCAACGTTTCGCTTGCGGTTCTTCACTTGGGCCGGCAAACTTGCCCGAAGAAACCGAAGAACTGGCTGGAAACAAAGACCGAAACTTCCATTGAAATATTACGTATTTGCATTATAAATGGTAGGTTACAACGGATTTGCCCACATACACAAGAGCGGCTCAAATTTAAATTTATAATTTCGTTTTTATGCATGGTGCTGGTGTGGCGATTCGATCCGATTCACATACGAACCGCTTTAATTAAAATAAACTGCAAAACTCCCTAAACAATCAGTGGCATACTAAGTTAAAGTGACATTGATTGACGCTGTCAAGTTTGAGAAGTGACAGACAGTGCTCTCAAGACCTACAGGCAAGTCAATTGTCAAAGTGTGACAGGTAGGTAGTGAATGTTGGAGTTTGATTGAAGTTGACTTGATTTTTGATTTGCCAATGTTTCAAAAACAAAGATGATTGGGAGCCAGTGAAAAACGGCAATTTACGTCTATTGGTGCAGACAGTCGCCTCCTTTATCTGTTTGAACGGCGTTTCCATGGAAACGCGCCCAGTTTGTGTACAGTTCTCGCTGCACAAATGGACGAGGACTGCCTGCACCAACAGTAATCTTAATTATTTCTACGGCAAATTTTCTCGAAAACTTGGCCAACTGTGAATCTAAATTGTTGCCAATAACGTCAAACGTATTTGATGGGGAAATTTCGGCTCGTTGAAGGTCCGGTGGAGGGAAAGCTCGGGAAAAGCGTTGCGTGTCGCGTCCAGTCCGGAAAGCCGTAAATTGAACATGCAAGAACACGAACAGGGGGGCCCACAATGCCGACCATTCATGAACAGTTTTCCTTATTGACTTTTCGTCGGCTTTATGAGACCGGAAATGGCATTATGTCGGCATAAATGAATGCGCCATCACACTCGAATTATGGCATGACAATGGCTGTTAAATAGCGGTATTATTCCTGTGTGCCTTTGCGCCTAGTTTCAATATTATTAATGATTAAAGCGAGGCGGGGCTCGCCTCTAACTTTAAATGGGCACACAACGGCCAATTTTTGCGCCATCTGGTCTGTTGGCTTGGCCGAAAAAATGGACTTAGTCGGACCGTTTTTAAAGTTAGTTTGACTGGAAAATCTTTTTGCGACAAAGAGATAATTCTGGGCATAGTTTGGAGCTTGGCGTATTAGAGCTAAGGGAGTTTTTGCCATGCGAACCGATTGAACGAGCAGAAAAGTTGTTGCTAATGTATGCAGTGGTTCACAATCGTCGGAGGTGAGTCCAAAGACCCCTGCCGGACGTGTGTGCTGGTCTGGTACTAAACGTATGGTTTTCAGAGCTTCTTCTTCGGAAATATGGGCGTATCCATCTAATCAGGGGCGGAACACGCCACATTTTGGAAAAAAACTGCACTAAACCGCTGATTGCTATTCAGCCAAAAATCCTCCGCATGGACAATTGAGCTGTATAAACCCTCAAAGCTTTCGACCCCATAAAAGTGCTTTAGAACCCTGCAGAAAAGCCAGCGGGCGAAGAAGGAAATGCCGGTGCGCTACTGGCTGTACCCACTTATTTAAAACAGGTATTAGCTTAAGAAGGACATAAACGGTAGTGAGGTTTTTGCGAAAGAACACATTCACGTATCGCTGCTAATTTTCGTTCTTAAACATTCGAGCGTTGCACTTTCGTGGAGGAAAAATCGGAAAATTGCTTCCTGGTAAATCCCCGAGTTGTTTGCTCGCCTACTAATGGATGTCTGAAATCCCGATCAGCTGCGCCGGTTGCACCAAAAATACCGAAACAATTAACAGCTCAAACCCAATCATTAGCTGCGAATTACTGCGGAAGGTCATTCTTCAGCCGCAAGTTCTATTAGGAAACATGATCTAATATTAAACCTCCTGAATAGATGAAAAAAACCAATCATCACACACAGATTTCTACATATACCAGAGAGGCGTTTTACATAATGCTAAATGAATCTTTGGTGTTTTCGTTCGATTTAATATCCCGTCAAGGTAACAATCGAAGAAAAAAAGCGCCATCCTTGATGGATATTGAATTAAACGTCATTCTACCAAATTGCTTTGTTTTGTGCTATCGGTTTTTGCTATGGGATTGGTCATCTACCGAGTGTTAATATTGGAAAATGAATTTATTCTCCATAAGAATCAATTGTTGCCATTTTTTTCACAATTCGTTTTATGGAGAAATAATCAGTTCTGTTTACATCACGGTAGCTAATAGAATCAATGCACTCAGATTATTTTCTTGTAAAGCCAAAAAAAAATTGGCCGGTTTAACGCAGAAGAAGCACGAACATAAAATGCTCTCGAAAGTGGACATTTCTTCACTCAATCAACGTTTCAGCCATTCTTCTAATGCCCATCCTCAACCGGTGCCAACCGGGTAACGATCCTCTGTCATAATTAAAAAATGATGAAAACCTTTTTGCGAAAAGCAAGAGCCAAAGCACAATTGAAGTTCGGTGTTTGCTTATAATTCAACTTATGTTTTCAAGCCAGTGAAATTTGCATTTGATCAGCTTCGAGTATATTTTTATGTAAAAATAGGTGCATTTTGTCACAGTCTGAAGCAAAATCTTTATCGTTGATTTCGTTACGTTTCAAATCCAGTCAAACTCATAATTGGTAAACATTATAGTCATTTAGGTTCAAGACCTAAATCCGTTTTAGGCAACAGTTCAGATGCACAGTTGCAACTGAAAGAAACTTGGCCAAGTTTTCGAGAAAATTTGCCGTAGAAATAATTAAGATTACTGTTGGTGCAGAGAGTCCTCGTCCATTTGTGTACCGAGAACTGTGCACAAACTTGACGCGTTTCCATGGAAACGCCTTTCAAACAGATAGAGCAGGCGACTGTCTGCACCAATCGACTTAAATTTGCTTTTTTTACTTTCTCCCAATCATCTTTTTGTGAAACATTTACGAATCAAAAATCAAGTACCTCCTTTTCAACTTCGGGCTTTTACAAGCATTTTTACATAAAAATACACTCGAAGCTGATCAAATGCAAATTTCACTGGCTTGAAAACATCAGTTGAATTTTGAAAATCGGTTGGGAAAAGGTCGGGTCTGTTCGGTTCTTGCTTAGTGTGTTGATTGAAAATTTGTTCCTGGAGGATTCATAAAGTAGTCTGGAAAAAATTCAACCATTTTTCCCCATCGTTTTCCATTAAGGAATCATTTACATTCGGGTTGAACGTAACCTTGCCAGTAAAAATAGAATGCAAACAATAATTCTGCGGTGAGGGTAGGTTGCATCGATGACACGCCATTCTGCCTTAATTAACTTAATGGCAAATATTTGGTCACGCAATGGACAATTAAATGGAAAGGCAGTTATTTGGGAAAACTCAGTGTTGGACTTTGCCATTGAGCAAATTGCTTTTTTCCTGCCGGCTCATTCATTTTCCTGGAATCGGCATCGATGGTCCGTTTGATCGACTCGTCTTCCTCTTCGGCCAACTCTATCGCTCTTTGGATCTTCTTTGAACGCATAACAATTAAAATTCAGATGGTGTGCTTCACTAGACGGCGAAATGTGTAAAGTACCTGGTAGCTGTTTCAGGCGGCATAAATGCAACCATATTTCAAGCAGGATCGGTCGTACCCGGCCGGTTGCGACTTTGACTACAAATTAGGCGGTAATCGCATAGCTTTTTTTCGCCTTGCGTCGTTAACGATATGGCCACATTTTTCTGATCATCCAGGTGTCTTTGCCTGCATGATTCGACACTGAACTGAGCAAAATCCTCCACTTCTTGGCGTTGGCTGCCGCTTCGAACACCGAACAATCGAGCGATTTGGTCCATTTTACGTCCCATGCACGTGCTTAAGCGACTTTACAAATTTTATGGATTTATTTACGTTACGTATCACAGCTTTCTATTGCAATGGAAATTTAATGCCCCATTGTATGGGCAGTTGGGCCTGATTTTCAATTGCTGTTTCAACTACTCCAAGCGCAGACCGTTCATGCTTCAATGCATCAAAACGGTTGAATGTCGCCCACCTTCGCTCAGTGTGAGGAAGACCAGATTGTTCCGAAATTGTTTTTCTGTCGCTTCCAATGCAAATTTTCAGTCAATGAGGTCAAAGGCGGCCTTACGTAAGCTCAATTTCTCCGACATTTAAGCTCGAGCCCGCCTACAATCTAGTGCAAAAGGTACTGGCTTACATCGTTACTCTTAACGACATGCACTCATTTTCTGAGTAACCATTGGCGTATCAAGGGCCATACTGATGGGACCTTTAAGGAATGATTGAAAAAATGAGCGTTCTTGACTATTTTGCTTGCGAGAGTTGAGCAAAAACGGATGTTTTTAAAACATGAAATTTTGGCATAATCTTGCACCTAAGTGTCTGTTATTGAAATTTTGCTTTCTGGGTCAAAATTACTCGACTTTCCTCACTCATGTTGTTATTTCTGAGTTGAGTTTTCAATTCTCTATCCAACGATGCCAAAACGAATTTTGTGGCTCAAATGGTTCTTGAGAAACTTCGAAAAAAGCAACGTCGTGTTTGAGTCGATTTTGCAACACACGAAAAATCACGCAAGTACAAAACCTCTTGAAAACAAGACTTTTTTGAGACAACGGCCATCATTTACTTATCGATGGTTCACTATATGAAAAGGCCATTTAGTTCTATCCGGAATGATGTAAAAATGAGCGTTTTTGCTTATGCTGCTTCCGAGAAATGAGCAAAAAACGGGACGGAAAACAGGAAATTTTGGCATAATCTTGTACCTAACTGTCTGATATTGAAATTTCGCTTTCTGGGGCAAAACTCCTCGACTTTCCTCACTCATGTTATTATTGCTGAATCGAGTTTTCAATTCTTTATCCAACGATGCCAAAACGAATTCTGTAGCTCAAATGGTTCTTGAGAAACTTCGAAAAAAGCAGCGCCAGTTTTAATCGGTTTTACATCTCAACAGAAAAACACGCAAATGTAAAACTTCCTG